CGTACAGAACACCAAATAAACAGGACCAAGAAAGAAAAACTCCCCATGACACATAATAGTCAAAACACTAAATGTACCAAACAAAGGAAAGATATTAAATGCTACAAGGGGAAAAAACCAAGTCACATATAAGGGTAGGCACATTTGAACAACACCTTATTTCAATGGAGACTCTAAAAGACAGGAAGGCCTGAAAGAATCATCTACAAACTCTGAGAGACCACAGATGTCAAGCTAAACTACTATACTGAACCAAACTATATATCACAATCTACCAAAAAAGAAAACATTTCATTAAAAAAAAAAAACTAAAGGAATTTCTGTCAATCAATCCGGCTCTGTTGAAGGCACTAGAAGGAAAACATCAGTCTGGAGATAAGGATGAGAGGACATAAGGTAAAATATTTAATCAAAAGAGGAGGAAAAAACACACTGCCACAACAAAATATATATATCAGGAAACAATAAACTGATTGCTCATAATTCTCAATATTAATGGCATCATTTCCCCAATAAAAAGACATAGACTAGCAGATAATATTAGAAAGCAGAGTCCATCTTTCTGCTACATCCAAGAAATGCATTTCACTATCAAGGACATATGTCCTCTTAAGGTAAATGGATGGATGAAGGTATTCTGAGCAAATGGACCCAAGAGACAAGCTGACACGATCATTTTAATTATAGATTTCACACCAAAACTAATCAGAAGAGATATTCAATGACACTACATACTCATTAAAGTAAAAAAATCCATCAAGAGGATACTACAGTTCTAAATATTTACCAAACACAATGGTAACCAACTTCATAAAAAGAAACACTACTACAGCTAAGATGAAACATTGGTCTTAATACACTGATAGTGGGTGACTTCAGTATCATACTTCCCTCCAATAGATATGTCATCCAGATAAAAACTAAACAGAAATGCTGGAGATGAATAACATCATTAAATAAATGGACCTAACAGACACTCCACCCAAACACTAAATAATATACTTTCTTCTCAGCAGTCCATGGAACTTTCTTCAAAATTGACCACATATTAAAAACCAAAGTGAGTCATCACAGATTGAAATAAAATCCTACATCTTTTCAGACCACGATGGATTAAAGCTTGGTATCAACAACAATAGAAACAGCAGAGAGTTTACAAACTAGTGGAAGACACACAACTCTATACTGAATGAAAACTGAGTCATGACAGAAATCAAGAAAGATTTTCAGAAGTTTTTATAACTGAATGAAAATGAAAACTCAACACATCCACACATACGGTACTCAGAGAAGGTGCTTTCCAAAGGCAATTTCCTAGCACTAAGTACTGACACTTAAAAAAAAATTGAAGAAATCTCATATTAATAGCAATTACACACTTGAAATCTCTACAAAAATAAAAAGAAATAATAACCCATCTTTACCAATTATAATCTAATAGAGAGTTTATTAGGGTTCTCAGAGGGACAGAATTGAGAGGATGAGCATTTTTCTATAAAGTGGAAGTTAGGAGGATTAAATGGACAGGAAGACGGGAGGGCAGGGTGAGGGAGGTGATAGGAGAAGGGACAACTAACAGTAAAGGCCTTTGGAAAATCTAGTACTATAGAAGCTTCCTAAAACATATTCATATATGAAAGAAATTTAAATGGACTCACCATACTATGAGGAAGAAAATGCCCCAAATAGACATATTTTGCTACCAAGTAAAACCTCCAGTATGAGAGATGAGTTACATCTTGTTTAGTTTGTGGGCCAAAGTGATCCCATAGAATCCCCAAAACACCATAGGCGATTGCTGAGGAAAGCATTTACATATGTCATTAAACATGGAAAAAATCAAGCTGGTACCCAACTAAAAGCTTCTTCCTTACTGACTAGCATTCATGGTGCTGGAAGAAACTTTGCATGCTACTAGAGAAGAAAAGTAGTTAACAATACCACCTAGCTACAAACCCTGAGACTTCCAATAAATAGGAACTTTCCTGCGAGTCATTCTGGTGCAGTAGCAGTACAAATGTTATGGAAGTAACCAATCAAATTTTGATGCTCTTCAGGCCCACTCCAACAGAAAGTGGCCAAGAACCGAAACTAGTTAGGCCATGGGACCTAGGGTAAATAAAACCCAGTACTATTATTCTGCTGATGGAACACAGCAATGCACCCATAGATACGTATATTGCTTAACCGTCACCACAGAAGTTTTTCTTGCAATAGATGGTAATAAACACAGAGACTCACAACTAAACAATCTGCACAAAATAAGAGAATTCATAGCACTGAGTCCTAAAGGAGATGGCTTTATCGAACCCCTCCCCCAAGACCCAGGGACCTCTTGGGAGAGGTGGTTGAAAGATTGTACAAGGCAGAGGTTGTAGAAGACTTCAAGGAAATTGTGTCTTCCAGGCACAGCAGTACTGATACACAAAGAACTCAGAAAACTATCACGGCACACACAAGACCTGCTCAGGTTCAGACCTGAAAAATTTTAGCACTTAGAAGGGGAGGTGGACACTAAATCCCACCCCTAACCAAAAAGTTATTTGCAGTTGATATCTGCTGCGAAAGGGAAAATCGGTTTTCTCCAGTAGAGTGTCACTGAGTATATAAACCTTGTTTCTGGGCAAGCCAACATAAAATAGACTCCATCGGTTGTTTTATTTGTGTGTGTGCTTTTTTTCCTTATTGGTTTTTGTTTGTTTATTTTGATGTTGAGAGAGAGAGAGAGAGAGAGAGAGAGAGAGAGAGAGAGAGAGAGAGAGAGCATAATGTTAGGTAGGTAGGGAGTTGGAGAGGATCTGAGAGGGACTGGACTGGGTGAAAATACAATCAAAATATGCTGTATGAAAAAGTGAATAGAACCACCACTCTAACTTTTGGATTTTAGGAAGAGAAAAAAAGTAAAGAAAAGCTCAATCAATCAGTCTATATATGAAAAAGGAGAGTTATATTTCTTACTCTTTTGCTTTAGACTGTTTAGAATAAATGATGAGCCATTGAAAAAGTATTGAAAAGAAACTGTTAACTGAAGTTCCCAGGGGGGGAAAAGCCACCCATCCGTTGGACATTGTACCTGGCTGATTAAGAGTTGAGTAATACAGAGTTGTTCAGCTGTTGCAGTTCCAGAGACAATTATCTTGAACTATCTTAACCTTCCCCGCTCATGTGGGCATTTTTGGTTCACCTCTGTGAGGGACCTAACATTCTTCCGGCCGTTAGGTAAGTTCTTTGGAATGTGTGCAGAGATCCTCAGCTTCCACTGACCCGAAGGCTGGGAATGCTATCAGATAGTATCTAAAGCCTCCTGCATAGGTCTCTCTGGTTTGTTGCGACATGCCTACCCAAGGCTCCCACCAATGCATTTTAAAAGTTTCTTGATTTATAGTTCTCTTTGCTTGGCTGCTATAAAAATTTCATGAGGTCAGTTGAGTAAGGCGATTCGCTTCAAAAGGCACTTGGGGCATAAGCCTGAGGACCTGGGTTCAATCCCTGGAATGAAAGTAAAAGTGGAAGGAGAGAAATCACTACACCCTGCTATATCTTCTGATTTCCTCTTGTGCACGTGGCATGGGCTCCACCTCAGTCCCTTCCACCACACTTGCACCGTGCACACACAGGATAATAGTGAATAAACAACAACAAAAGTTTCATGAAACTGTCACCACATAGGAACACAGAGTTTGGGGTAATCTAAATTTGTAGTCTTAGAATGTGACTCCAGAAGAAACTATCTTTTATTTGTTTTCAGATGAGAGCTGTGTTTTTTTTTTATGTTCACATATGGAACTATTAAAAATTGTGTTACTAGTCAGGCATGGTGGCATATGCCTTTAGTCCCAGAACTAGAGAGGCAGAGACAGGAGGGCCTCTGAGTTCGAGGCCAGCTTGGTATATAGAGCCAGTTCCAGGACAGCTATGACCATACAGAGAAATCCTGTCTCAAAAAGCAGCAAACAAAACAAAACAACAACAAATCGTGTTTCCAGGGTACTTGAATAACTTCAAAAATTCTCACGATATAAATGACAAAGTAAGCTATAAAAGTATAGAACATGCTCTCAAATGTCTAAAATTATAGAGCATATATTAATAAGAGAGAAACCTAGCTTGCGCGATTAAAGTTAGTTTTATTTTTTGATTTTACTGAGTTTTAAAAAATCAAATTCCAACATATTTCCTTTACATTTAGAAAAACAGTAAAAATCAATAGCTTGTGCGATTAAAGTTAGTTTTATTTTTTTGATTTCACCGAGTTTTAGAAAATCAAATTCCAACATATTTCCTTTACATTTAGAAAAACAGTAAAAATCATTACGGCGAATGATCAGGTAGAAAATATAAAGGAGAGTTTAAGTCAACATGGTGGACTCTGCAAGGCCTTTCCCCAGTCCGGTTTCAAATCCCTAAAAGTGAACGAAATTGTAGATTTGTATATAAAATTTCTCCCACCCCAAGTATTTTTTTCTTTTTCTTTTTCTTTTTCTTTTTCTTTTTCTTTTTCTTTTTCTTTTTCTTTTTCTGCTTGTGAGGAATTCCTGGAAGATAGAAAGCAGATGGAGCCTCAGTGAAGTATGCAGTTGGGCAGCAGACAGCCGGCAGGGGAGGGGGGAGCTGGACTGTCTGGCTCTGGTGGGACTGAACCGGTCTGGGTGGGGGGTGGGGGGGGGCAAGAGTAAAGGCGAGTGCCTGTGTCAGTGTGGCTGCCCCCGGAGCGGAAGGCAGGACGGAAGCGGGAGGGGTGGAGGGAAGGAGAGGGCGGGCTCAGAGGAGGAGGAGGAGGAGGATTCCCTGAGCTTCAAAAATCCCGGTTCTGCGCAGATTGGCCAAGCTGACAAGCGCTGCCAAGACCAGGCCGCGCAAACTGCTGGGAGACGTGCCACTGCCTGCACTTTCGTTGCTGCAACCATCCCTGTCATCTCTCGTCCACGTTAACTGTCGTCTTCTTCTCTGCTGCCGTTCTGCAACCACCGCAGCATTGACAACAACAGCTAAGTGGCGGATTCTGGCTGGGACTTGGGCTTGGGAGTCCGGGAAGGTGCCAGGCGCGGACAGAACCTCGGAGCCCGCCGTCTCTCTCTAGCCATCACTACTGCAAAAAACCCCCTCCCTGAAGGAGGAGAAAGCACTAGAGAGAGGCACTCTCTGTCTCAGTTCCCAGTCAGTTAGCTTGTTGCTGACAAAATCTGAAGACGGGAGAACGGACATAGTCTCTCAGATCGCGAAAAATTTCTCCGACTGGGTCGACTGCAGTGTTGACTGTTTGCCAGCTTCATAAGCAAAGGGCAGCTTTGCTTTGGCCACCTAAGCCTTGAGCCATGTCTCCTCCGACCGTGCCTCCTACTGGGGTGGATGGCCTGTCCGCCTACCTGATGAAGAAAAGGCACACTCACAAGAAGCAGCGGCGTAAGCCCACTTTCCTCACTCATAGGAACATCGTTGGCTGCCGCATTCAGCACGGCTGGAAAGAAGGCAACGAGCCAGTGGAGCAATGGAAGGGTACTGTGCTCGAGCAGGTTTCCGTGAAGCCCACTCTCTACATAATTAAATATGATGGCAAAGACAGTGTGTACGGACTAGAACTGCTCAGAGACAAGAGAGTTTTAGCTCTGGAAGTTCTTCCCGAGAGAGTTCCGTCTCCTCGCATTGATTCCCGCCTGGCAGATTCCCTGGTTGGGAAAGCAGTGGGACACGTGTTCGAAGGTGAGCACGGCAAGAAAGATGAGTGGAAGGGCATGGTGTTGGCACGCGCTCCCATAATGGACACTTGGTTTTACATCACCTACGAGAAAGATCCGGTCCTCTATATGTACACCTTGCTGGATGACTACAAAGATGGTGACCTGCGTATCATCCCAGATTCCAACTACTACTTCCCTACAGCAGAACAGGAGCCCGGGGAGGTGCTCGACAGTCTTGTGGGCAAGCAGGTGGAACACGCCAAAGACGACGGATCCAAGAGAACTGGCATCTTCATCCATCAGGTGGTGGCCAAGCCGTCTGTCTACTTCATCAAGTTTGACGACGATATTCACATTTATGTCTATGGTTTGGTGAAAACCCCATAAGCTTATAGTGAACTGGGGAAACTATTGGAGGTAAAATATTTGACGTTCTCAAAATTATGTGTCTTGAGAACAATTTTGAGGTCAAAAGTTCAGGACGGTTGGTAAATCTTATTGTGCCTCTATATCTTTCTTATATTGACTATTGTTCAGTTTGGAATCAAGTGTATGCTAGTACTTTCATTGTTTATTTGTTTTGTTGTTGAGAATTTAAATTGGTTGCTAAGAAAGAAGTATAAAAAGTGTTTGAATCCACTGACACAATTCAGAAGTAGATAAACTGTGCAACATGTCTCCGTCCAGATTAGTTTGAAAACTTGGTTTTTATCTTAGGATGTTTTCCCTACTCTCAGAAAGTTCGATGTAGCTTTTGTAAGATTCACCAGCCGACGACAGACCTTCTGATCAATAGCGCAGTCATCTCTGCCTCTCAGCCTGACACTTCCTCTCACAACTGTGTTCACAGGAATACAGATTTGCCAAAAAGTTCTCATTCTGTTGTTGGTGAGCATTTCTTTCCCTTTGGACTTGTATTGCTGTTTTATTGTATTCAGGTGCTCTTATTTCTATGGAAGTGTTATGTAGGCATATATATATATATATATATATATATAGTTTTAAGAAATATTGCAAGGTTGGCGTTCACTGGTCTTTAATGTTTGAAAAGCTGACTGGTAAAAAGTTCCATGATTTTCCTGATTAGTTTGTTTAGTGTTTACCTGACTCAATGAGATTTATTTTTCTACTTGGGATATTTCTCTTTCGTGTTTTGCTAATTTTTATCCTTTGTTCTTTCAGCTGTTCAATTGATATATTTTCATATAAAGTAGTAGGAAGGTCTACAGTGAAAGTACATTGTAATCATTTGTATTTCATGTGTTAATGAATTTTACATCATGATTAATTTTGACATTATTGATAATATTGTTCACTTTATAATTTTTAAAACTTTAAGTAATTTTATAATTTTAAAACATTATCTTTTATGAGTTTTTGATTTCTTTTTTTCAGACAGATATCTCTAAGTCACACCAATATTCACTTTGTTTTTCTCATAATTTTTATTTCAGTTTTTATCTATCTGAAATTAATTTTTCCATATAGAAATACATATGGATAAACTACAACTTTTTTCACATATTCAATTGTAGAAATTACTTTTTTTTGAAATTACTTTTTTTTAAAGATCACTTTTTTAATTTTTTGAGTGAAAATGAGTTTTAAACATAGTGGCTGATCATAAGTTTCAAAACTGGAATAACAAATTCCCTTTCAATAGTTGTTTTTTTTTCTTCCTTATTATAATTAATTCATCCTCTACATTCATCTATTCACAAGAAAACTCAATGCATTTTATTAATATTTTGAAAAGGATCTGATACCTATTGGAATTACATCAATTTTATGTATTCTTACATATAAGAATAATATTAATAGTTATATTATTCCTTAACATGCAAGAGTTTTGGTTCATTATTGAAATATTTTTATCATTTTCATTACATTCTTCTTGTAGATCATTCATATTTAATGGAATTTATTTTTGCAGTTGACAAATTTTGGAATAAATTGAGCATTTTTTCCTCCTTATATGTAACTTTTTATTTTTATCAAAAAAGGAAATCTATAGATTTTATATTTTTATCTTTTATCCAATGAATTTATTTAATCCTATAGATTACATTGGATTCTGTTGGAAACTTTTGGATTTTCTTGATATATACAATAATTTCACATATAAAGAGAGATCATTTTATTTCTTCTAATGCTTATACTTTTTAGCATTACATTAGCTGTATTCTCCACAGCAATGATATGTAATGATGATGGCAGACATGCCTATTCTATTTTAATTTTTATGAATAATTTTACTGTTTCATGTTTGATTTTGTTGTTGATTGTTGGTAAGTAGTTATTCATGTGTTGAGAAATTTCTCCTATTTCTGTTTTTACATAGCATTACCTTTAGAAATGTCTCCTCTTTTTTATCAATGTTTTTTCAATATCCTTTATTAAAATTATGTTTTTCCTTTAATTTTTTGATATATGATTTTTTAGAAAATTAGGTATTTAGTACTAAACCAAACATGCATTTCTGAAATAAATGCTACCTGGTCATGGTAAAATGATCATTTATTATTTTGCTTTATTTTATTTACCAATAATGCACTTAGAGTTGGATTTGCATTTCAAAATGAAGTTGCATTTTTAGGTTATCCTTTTTATTTTTAATTAAACTAACAGACAACTGGTTGTGTCATTTTTTTTCTTTCTTACCCTGTCTATATGAAGCTTTGTTATTAAAGTTCTGTTGGCTTAAAACAGAACTTTTTTGTGAAGTAGTTTAAATGGCATTAGAAATGTTCTTCAAAAGTTAGGTGGGACTAAGCTGTAAAGCAGTCTAATCCTGGGAACATGGTTGATGATGGGTGAATCTAATGAGTTTCCTGATATTTTCCCCAGTAGCAATTGGCTTTTTCAGACTTTTTGGTAATACAGAATATATATTTTTCTGTCATTTACAGAATATATATTCTCTGTCAATTACATATAAAGTTGAATGTTGTTTATATTATAAAATTTGCTGATTATATTTTTTCAGGTGCTTCATGTCCTTGTATATTTAATGTGAATTAGATTTGTCCAGTTCAGAAAATGTAAGAAAATTATCAGCTATAATGATAATATAATTATCTTTGTATTCTTTTATTTACTAGAAAAATAAGACAAAATATAAGAAATTATGAAAGATGTGAAAAACATTTGTTTACCTCCACTTCAAATTATCAAATATCAATACTTTGTCATATTTGCTTTAAATGAAGATTTATATTAAAATTAATCAGTGTTAATGGCTAATAACTTCATTTTCTATCACCATACCACCTCTTCTGCAGAAGCAGACACTATCATGTATTTGGTGCTCATGTTTTATATATTTACTGAAAATAAATGATATACAAATAAAACTATAACCAATAATTATAATGACTTTTGTGTTTTCTAATGATGCCAACATGAATAACTAACTTTAATCCAAGTGGAATTTATTCTGGTTTTGTTTTCAGGAACCTTTTAAATTCTAATTGCTGTTAGCATTTACTATTCCAAACACTGGAGTAAGTCTGATCATAGTCCTAGGGATTGAATAAAGAAGATATAAATGCCAGTTTCTAACAGAACTTACATTATGTCTCTGAGAAGTCATTTGTGTGCCACCCTTCTCAGATTTCTAGACCACACATAGACTTTACACATTTCTCATAAGATTTGGGGGTATTATTATTATTGTTGTAATAGAAAGAGGGTAACCCTAATTTTTCAAGTTTGGGAGACTTCTGGTTTCGGGGGCAAAAAAAATTGGGAGCTCACCAAGGCCAGCTGGATGGGGACTGAAAAGGCATGGGATCAAACCGGACTCTGAATGTGGCGGACAATGAGGGCTGCTGAGAAGCCAAGGACAATGGCACTGGGTTTTGATCCTACTTCATGTTCTGGCTTTGTGGGAGCCTAGCTTGTTTAGATGCTCACCTTCCTAGACCTGGATGGAGGGGGGAGGACCTTGGACTTTCCACAGGGCTGGGAACCCTGACTGCTCTTTGGACTGAAGAGGGAGGGGGAGGGGAGTGGGGCGTGGGGACTGGGGGGAGGGGGAGGGAAAAGGGAGGCGGGGAGGAGGCAGAAATTTTTAATAAATAATAATCCCAGCACTCGGGAGGCAGAGGCAGGCAGATCTCTGTGAGTTCGAGGCCAGCCTGGTCTACAAGAGCTAGTTCCAGGACAGGAACCAAAAGCTACGGAGAAACCCTGTCTCGAAAAATCAAAAATAAATAAATAAATAAATAAATAAATAAATAAATAAATAAATAAATAAACTTCCTGTCTTAGACAATAATAAATCCATTTAAACCCTAAGTCATGAACCGTGAATTGAGTTGTTCTATGGCATTAGACCATAGAGTAAATGAAAAATCTGTTCCTTGCCTATAGGACTTGGGGAAAGATTGTTAAACTGTGTAGACAAATGTTCTCTTAAAACATATATCATGAGGGAGGGCAGATATCTGTCAGCTGTCCTTTATGCTTCTGAACCTTAGGCCTTACGTTATCATAGAGTGATTTGAGCATATACCAAGACCTATGATTCATAACTGGGTTTGTGTCTAGTTACAACTCTGATTTAGCAGGGAGACTACAATAGTGACTTATTCAGAAGAATATAGAATAGATCAATGTGCTCAACTATGGCTGTACCCTATAACTTTTGGACTAGAGTTAGATTTTGGACAGGAATCATTTCACATTTTCCATAGTAAAATTTGTCACACCTAATTGCTTGAGTCAGAAGGAGGTTCACTCTACTGGGAAGTGAATACATCTTTCCAAACTTCTATTTTCTTTGAGATTCTCCTGTTTGAAGGAAACCCATTCCTTCCTCCACATATAGATTTAGATCCTCATGCTTACAATGTGATACTGTAGTTCTTTCGTTCTGAGGACTAGTCAGAGAGCAGCCTTTCAGTAGTTCTAACACTGTTATAGGAGAGGAAAGGGGCAGAAACAAGGTCTTTGCCCTGTACATAAAGCTTATACCGTGGTGAACACTGACAGATTCTCATTCCTCCCAGCACATTTTCTGGAATTAGAATTGGAATGTATTGCTGCCATACATGCCTTACATTGGGGTGTGAAGATAGATTTGAAGGAAAAGCAAAATAACAGGAAGTAGAGAGACCAGGCTGGGTCCTGGGGTGTATTAGTCTGTAGAGATAATCGAAAAATAGATGTCATAAAAAAAAGAAAAACATATGTCATTGGAACAAGCACTTGAATAAAGCAAGGAAACAAATCATGTTGCTGGTATATTCAGATCAAATATGTAAAGTTAAAGGTTATAGCCAAATATAATCAGACAGAATGTGAAAAAGAGACTTAGGGGAGATTGGACAGATATAAAAACCCAAACAAAACTCATAAATTCCTACAGTATCAGACCTCAATGCTTTGAGTCTGTCTGACCTAGTAATTTGTGCAGTCTTATACAAATATTTAGGGAGTATAGCTTAGTAGTAGAATATTTGATTGTATTTAGAGCCTAGCTTCT